CCGCAAAAAAAAAAAAAGTGAACTGAACCATGGCTCAAAAATTGAAGTCTGAAACAGACCGTGGATTTAAACAGCCGCATTTAAAGAATGGACAAAATTAGATGCTGTAACAGGGGTGCTTTTCCATTAGCAACTACCAAGGTCCACTGCTCCCAGTAAAATTTGCTGGGGGTTGGTTCCTTGAGCCGGATCGAGTGCGTGGTCCGGATTAAATTGTGTTTCAGTTTGAATGCAGACCAGAGTCTACCACGTGAACCCCCCCCCCCCCCCCCCCGTGTTATACTTTTACATCAAAAATAAAATTTCTGCATGGAGCAAATTCTTCACATTATTTTGACAATACATACAACTCTGCATATTACTTCAGCACCGGTGAGTGACTAAGATGTACATTTACCTTTGTGACAGAGTAAGAACCATATGAAGCCTGGACCTTAACTTGGGCAGGGGCTTCTGCAGGCGGAGCCAGGAAAAATGACTGGCTGAAGGTGAAGGGACTCGAGTTGGAGAAGATCACTCCCAGGTTAGCCTGTGAGAGAGGGAGAGCTCGCCAAGGAGGGAGGATGCGTATCTGGGCGGGCAGGAAAGGGGGCGGCAGAGCTTGGGCAAAGGCTGTGTTTGGGTTGGGGGGGGGGCAGGCGTACAACCCCAGGGGCCAGAAAAATTAGGGAAATCACTTGTGACAATGACACAGGTATTGCTGAACAACTAAGTTATCATCTACATTTAAGTGCTACTTGAAAATAAGATGAAATATTATGTTTAAATGTCATCATGTTTGATGTGCAAGTGCTAAATATATAAACCAATGTAGAAAAGCACCTTCTGGATGCTTGATGCTCTTCTGAACTGCACACTCACCGGCTGAGAGGAAAGACAGGACTGTCATTATCTTCACCGCTTTTCCAGTCCGGCTCATCGCGCCTTTAATGTGCTTTGATGCTGTCATGTGGTCAAAGAACAGGACGTTTGAACTGGTCCTCAAATGGTATTGCAGCGTTTAACTTCAGATTGGTGTTAAGGGCGAAAGCATACTGGTGACAAGCTGATGTACTTTTGACCAAAAGGTGTCCTACGGAGAACAGGTTCCCAACCCTCAATCCTTGAACTGGTACTGGTCTGTGGCCAGTATCCACCAAGCTGTGGGATGCTGTGGATTTTGCAGAGGGGCGAGTTAATTTACAAAAAAATAAACTGTACTTATTTTTTTTACAATCCCTCACATTTGCATAATAATAATAATAATAATAAATGACAGGCACTTTGAAGGCAAAAGACATCATTATATCTTTGATCACGTTCACTTAAATTGCATTAATCTTGATACCCCAATGGGAGAATAATATGATTTTAAAAGAATTTAATTTCTATATTGAACACACAGCTATGAAATCGTTTTGATGGTATTGTGGCATGACTGTACAGGCCATTAATCGCAATTTAGAAATGTAATCGTTTGACCGCCCTATTAACAATCTTTGCTCAACAGCAGGGCACGATTGCATTTCTAAATGGAATTGGCAGACAGAGATTTATGAAATGAGGAGCTATGCCTTTACTAGAAGGGTCTGATTTTAAAGAAAATGACTGAGAACACATGATTTAAACTAATTAGCGTGAAAGTATTTGGGGGGGCACCTATATCACTTATAGGATTTACCAATGTCCATAACATTTTTTTTTATTAATAATGATGTGGCTTCTTTTCTACTCTGCTCCTGCATTTAACAATAGACAGAAAACAGTGCCTCAGGATTCAAATACGTCAAATTGTCTTGGCCTAATGAAATTCAAATTATTTGCGGTAACTAACCCACCCTCTCTGTTCATATAAGAACATTAAATGAAACCGAAGGGAAAAAAATGGAATCAATTAAAAAAAATTTAAAAACTGAAACGTACTGTGAAGACAAAACAAAAAGATGATTCAAAACAATTTAATACCACTAAATAGTTAATGTAATAGTAAATTATTACATTTAATGTTAACTTATGGTTCAAAGCTATGTACAAGTGATGCAAATGTCACATTACAAACATACATGATGTCGAGGAATCGTATAGGTGTAAGTGAGGCTAGGCTTAGCTTCCGATGAATGTCCAGGTACGAGTGCATGCAGTACTGGAGCTGGAGCTACACAAACATAAATGATTCATATTACATACCAATAATAGCTGGTATTAAAAAAATGTATACTTTTTCACGTACTAAAAGAATACACTCACCTAGTGCTGAACCAACTTTTTAAAAAAATACTCAGTGGTTATTTATATGTGATTGTCCCTATCATCTTCCCTTCACCTGGACGTCCCCCTCTGCTTTCTCCGCTTTGAACACAGGGATTTCCTCATTCCGCACGGAGAGTGATCCTGCCTCCAGCCCTCCTGCTCCATCCGAAATCTCTGTGTTCCTACAGCATGTCCGTTAGTGAGCAGCTGCTTTGTCAGGTAATCAATATATTCTGTTTCCTCAATGTTTCTTCCTCCTCCACCCGCTGTTCATATTTCGTGAGCTTGACACAGAGATCTGGCAGTCACCCCGATAGCACTTCATCCCCCTCCTTCACATGTTGTGTGAAAAGTACAAATCGGGCACATTTTCCTAGTGAAGTATTCATCGATGCCGGTTGTGACTTGGGAAGATACTGTAGGGGGTTCAGAGAGTTGTCACAATGTGAACTGAAATCTCTGATTTATCCCTGCCTCCACAACACAGTTCTGATACCCATAACAGGCCACCACAAGGAGCTTAGGAACACTGTCCTCGAAACGGCAGCTTACTGTCAATCTGGGGCATTACATTTCATAGCTGTGTGCCACCTTGCTATTGTCTCATCTTCCTCTCCCTCCTCTCATCACAGCTGGCTGCCCTGGCACTACCATGTGTGCTGCTAACACACACTCTCCATACACGCTGTTTTGTGTTTTCCTGTTTACAGAGCCCCTGGTATGTGGAGCCAGCTTCAGCTTCTCTGCTCAGCCTCTCAGTCTCTGAATTCCCTGCCATTGCTCTCGCACTGTTAGTTAATCCGCACTAGCAATGGCCTGTCCCTGATGGTACATATTTCGTTGTGGGGACTTAATTCCTAAGCTTGACCTCATACACAGCACGGGAACAAATACACACAGATGTCCACCTTAATGTCGATGTTTTGTATATCAGATACAGGCTCTCTATCAAAAAGTTTGGCTGCTCTTAAACTGCAAAACAATCAGACTTAGTGTATCAGCACAGTAGAGCACTAACAGATTCACTCCTGTTTTGTCATTTATCATGATCTGTGCGCCTGTGTTTGTCACTGAATTGTGCAGGCAGGCTTGTTTCATTTGTACTGTTGTTATGTATTATCACCTCTCCCCCCAAAAAAATGAAAGATGAGAAAAAAAAGACTGTAATGGAATTGTGCATAAATATAGGTAAAGCGATCGAAATAACAGGAAGTCAGCAGGATACAGTACAGGAATACAGTACAGGAAGCCACATGTAAGCACTACTCCTTCACACCTCACTACTCCTTCATGCACTGCTCCTTCATGCCACACTACTCCTTCATGCCTCACTACTCCTTCATGCAGTACTCCTTCATGCCTCACTACTCTTTTATACTGCACTACTCCTTCATGTCTCACTACTCATTCATGCTTTACTACTCCTTCATGCCTCGCTACTCCTTCATGCACCTCCCTCAGAGACTCTGTGATGTTCTGATGTTCTTAAGGGTTCATTTCACTGCTGTTTTTTATGAGGGAAATATCTTAGAAAATCATCTTATTTATTTTCTGACAAATTCTATTCCAATCAAAGATTTATTGAAGAAGAAACAACATTACAGAACACAATCACAGAACGCAATACAAAGAATAATACACAATATACCCTGAAGCATTATACAACCATTAAGAATGACATGGATGTTGCACCAAGGAAGAAAGTGATAAGGACCGGAATTTAGCTGCATGAGACACAGAGTGCTATTTTGCTTTGAGGAAGCACTATTATTCACCCTCAAATGTTCAAATCCTGAAAAATCTAAAGAAAATCCAGACCCAACACAGAACAGGGATTTCATCAGGGGATTGAAACAAGTGGTATCATACACAAATCTTAACTTCCGTAAAAGCCAGGTTCAGAGGGTTGCACCATGGATGCCTGTAGCCACATTATGTGTTTTTGTGAGTGTAAGTCTCATCAAGGCATGACTGCCGCTGCTGTGCATTGTCACTGGGATGCACTGCAGCCTGCGCTCTGTGAAAAGACACTGAGAGGGACAAAGAACGAGAGAGTGAGAGGTGTGGAAAGAATGACAAGAGATAGCATGAAAGACAGATGGAGAGACATGGGGTAACTATTCCATGGTGTCTGGAAAAAAAAACTCCAAAATTAGTAGATAAACAATGAGTCACTGGTTCCCCTCCAGCTCAGTGACACTATGACTCACCGCTTTGACTCTGCATGGGTCCAATCCATCTGTCCTTCCTGCGGTCGGACACTGTTGAGGAGGGGAGCACTTAGGTATGCCAAACAAAACAATGCCGCACATTTATAGTCAGGCACATTTTAGGTACCTACTTCTCTTCACGATGGCCTTGTAGGCCCTCGGTCCAAAGGCCAGGAGCAGCAGGACGCAGAGCAGCACTGTGGATATCTTGAATGCTGCCAGCTCAGGGCCAGCTGAAGACAGAGAGAACACAGGGCACCATCATATTGATTTTAATAGAGGAACCTTATAAGGTTGCTCAACACAGTGCTTTCAACTTCACAAGCAAACTTATATTGCAACAAACTGGTCCGTTCCACAGACTTGCCTTGGCACTGTCGAACAGGGCAGGTAGTGTTGATCACAGGATGAGATGGAGGTGAGGAAGTGGAGGATGACGCTGCCTCTGTGGTCAGGTTTGCAGTTATATTCGTCACTGGAGAAGCGTCTGTCCTTGTCACTGAAACATAGTGAGGGATGATGCAAGAATAATGACATATTATAACATTAACAGTGAGCTTTAGTTGCTGTTCTACATCATTTTCAATAAAATGTATAGTAACGCTTTACATTAAGTGCACCTTCGTAATGCATTCATAATGCATTCATAGAACATTCATAAGCAGCATGCAAGTACACCATAACATCCTAACATCCCTTACCAGCTTTAATATACATTAAAAACAAACATTACATGATTATGCAATTATAATGTTTGTTATTAATGTATATTACAGCTGTTAAGGGATGTTAAGGTATACATACATGATGTTTATGAATGTTTTATGAATACTTAATGAACACATTATGAAGGTGTACTGAACATTTTATGAATGCAATATAAATAAATGCATTATTAAGGTGCAGTTAATGTAAAGCGTTACCAAATGTATTTTATAACAGCAGATTTTCACAGCAGAGAAACTTCAGTCAAGAAAAACATAGATAAAGAGTATGGCTACTCATATCAAATCATCAGTAACAAAAGTTTGTTCCCTATATCTAAAAGGATCACAAAAGTAGCCTTGCACTAGTTCAACATTCAGGTTGCATCCTCCAATATGCTAAACTGCTAACTGAGCCGACTAACATCATTACCTTCACTAATCATAAATTGTCAGTGAAAAACAAGTTAGCTTGCAGTGGTGAAGGTTCCACTTATTGTTAGCTCAACCAGATATATTCCTGGACTAACAATGTCCTCTGACATGAATAAAATAGGTTTTTATTTTTCAAGAGATTTTGACTCACCGACAGCCAGCAGGAACACAGTCAGAAGAGAGACAGCCATTTTGTCCATTACAGAAAAAGCTGAAAGATTTATTATTAATATTTAGTTTAAAATCCATGTACACATGAGTGTATGTGTGTGAGTGTGTGAATATATGTGGACTATCAAGGTCGCAGTACTTTGTCTATCTGTGTTTTTTTTCGATAATTTTGACGGTCAACGGGGAGAGACTTGCAAGTTTCTGGTTAATTAATTTTTAAATTTGGCAAAGGAGAATAGTAAAAATTCTCTAATGAGATGATGATTAAAATGAAAATTAAAACGCATTATTTGGTCTCATAATGATCATTACAAAAATGAGAATGTCATGCTAAGCAAATAAGAGGATTTGAGTGGGAAACACTCCTTGTTACTGTCACTGCCATTATACTTTGGTCAGTATTACATGGAGAGTCAGTCATTATGTAGAATACTACATGCTCAACATACAAAAAGAAAGTCCGATCTTTTCTTACCCTCCAAACAGAATCTCAGAAAGGGAAAAGGAGACGGTTTGGGAAACCATGTGAACAGAACTGAAGCTGCAGGAAACACAGAGACGTGTAAAACTTTCTCTTCCTCTCCCTCCCCCTGTCTGTGCCTACAGCAAAGCTTCCGTACATCAAAGCGTGTTACAGAAACATTTTAAAATAGTAAGTAGAGAAATGAGTAAGTTGGTAGGAGTAAGTAGAAAACAAGAGAGCCAATCAGAAGCTGGGATCCACTAATTCGTCAGATTGATGTTTCTTAAACCTGTCAAAGTCATAATACTGTACTGTAATAATACTATACCACTAACCTGCCTGTGTCAGTGCGCTCAGCCCCTGTATCTACACTATACTGTAATAATACTGTAAC